CCACGGCAGCTCTCTGTGGGCCTACAGTGGATAGAGAATGCTCTAGAACAGCTATTTGAAGAGAGCCACAGACTGGAAACAATTATTCATACATGTGGTCCTGAAAAGAGGAGCATTTGGAGCTCTACATTGGAGAAACCAAATACAGTGGACACTCAACTTACAGATGGCTCGACTTACAGACTTTTTGAGTTACAGACTTCTCTGGCCACAAAATTTAGGTTCGACTTGCAGCCGGAGAATCGACCTACAGACCAGAAAAAAACAAAAATGGAACAAAAACGGCTGGTTACAGGATTAATCGGTTTTCAGTGCATTGTAGGTCAATGGAGACTCGACCTACAGACTTTTTGACCTTACGGATTAATTCCGTAAGTAGAGGGTCCACTGTAGCCACTAAACAGGAGAATGGCCTAGCACAGGAAGGGCAACGGCTCAGTACCACAGTAGCAGTGTTTGTTCATTTGAAGGACAAAGGTCACTCATTTGATCACCAAGATGTACTCATTTTGGACAGAGAAGATAGGCGGTTTGAGAGAGGGGTCAGTGTGGCCATACCTGTGCATATAGAAAATTCTTCACTCAGGCCTTAGACGCAATCTGTCTCCTATTTATCATGCTGCCCTTTCATACGTCCCCAGAAGGATCAGGACCAGACACACAGGAAAGACCACTGCTAATGACTATTAACAACCCATGACAATGGGTGGGGAAGGACTACAGAAGTGGGATTATTCCTTACCCCTACAGTCCTTTGTCCTTTTAACAAGCCTATTCATACCAGGGGAAAGTATAACCAGTGTGGAAAATATACCAGGGATCTCCTACCAACTCTCCTCAGACTGTAGAAGCTGCTTGGATGAGTAGCAAAATGTTTCAACCTAATAAAAAAAGAAGTCCAGTTGCCATGACTCAACTTCCAAATAACTTCAACTGGATGACTGAGAATTTTCACAGATATATCACCTTATAAGGTTCATCATGCAATTTATACAATCCTGATTTGGCCTATATTTCTTTCATATTGTGTTTATGGCTGTGGCCATAAACATATATAAAAACTGAAAATGGCTGCGCTCTTGAACATATTATAGGGTGCCATGGTAGGCTCTAAAAGAGGAGGATGCAACAAATTCTGGACAGAACATATGTATACAATGTATACAAATTCTGTTCCTTAGCATAGTAAATCATACTTGACTAGGGCCATTGAACTAATGATTTAGTAAATTAATTCCTCCACAAATCCCATGAATTTAAAGAAGCCTACCCTAACTGTGACTTCTTACGCTAAAATAAGTCATAGAACAGGCCCATTTCAATCAATGGAACTTATGGAGGAGTTAATTCACAACATCTCCATTGGTTCAATGGACCTATTCTAGTGTGATTCATGCCAAGCAACAGGATTTTTGCCAATAAATTCTGGTTAAAATTGAATCAAAATTGTACAACATACACACAAACTGTTGCAGTTTCTTACAAGATGGATAAACGTTAACATTTGCCTGTTTCGTTCTGTTCAAGGGAACTTTCAAAAAGCAAGAGTGTTTTGGTCAAGCCAAAGTCTTCTTTACTCGTCCAAATTACCAAGACTGTTGACAACAAATAAGGTCAATTAAGATACCTAGTTATTCATAGTAAGTATGGAGGTTCTTGCTCAAAACTATTTTTCTACTTATGTGTAAATGTTTGATTTCATAATTAGTTTAGAGCTTCAACATCAGAAGAGTAGACTGATACTTGTAGAACATGTTTTTTCCTCTTTCTCCCCCGTGAATAGTATTCCCCCAAATCTGTTAAAAGTATCCTCCAACCATCTGAAGCACACATGGGGCAGAGGATTACAAGTGAAAGATAACTAATTCTATTAATAATATTTGTTTTATACACCAATATGTCAGATGGAACATGCTGACACTGTTATGTTTTTTCTCCCTTGGGTTAAACTAGGAGTGTGGATGGGACCTGCTTCAACATCAGGTCTCCAAACTTTTCTTCTACTATAATCCCTCCCACTTCCAAGAACTGCAATGAAGAGCAGTAAACAAGTTTTACCTCTTCCCTATCTGACACTTTGGTTTAGAGCAGTGCTTCCCAACCTTGTGTCCCCAAATGTTATTGGACTACAACTCCCAGAAATCCTGGCCAGCACAGCTATTGGTGAAGGCTTCTTTCATTAGAGAACATATGAGGACCCAAGGTTGGCAACTACTGGTTTAGAGGAACAGGAGAGCCAATGATGTAAAAGTCTAAGTGCACTACTCTGGCGTTGACATGAACTGTAAAAATGGCCAAAAAGACTAAATCCAGTATTATTTACTTAGAAAAGAGATTAGGAAACTGTCAACAAATTAAAATTAATTATGTCAGCCTAAGCTATAGTTGTTCTAAAAGAACATGGGACTGATTCAGATATCACATGAATTTGCTGTGTGTTTTGCTAAAACTGACTGTCAACAAATTAAAATTAATTTTGTCAGCCTAAGCTATAGTTGTCCTAAAAGACATGGGACTGATTCAAATATCACACCCTACCTAAGTCTGATATGAAGGGTTCCAAACACTGCAGAACAGATTTTGAAGTCATATTGGGGAATGCGGGAAGGTGAGGCAACTTCACCGCACTGTTCTCGGGTCTATTAATGGATGCAAGCTCATCAGTGAAATAACTTAGGTTGGCCTCTAGTTGCAGAGCAAAATGGGCTGCAGGTAGGGAATCTTCAGAAGTTACTGGACAAATAAATCAAGAGGGGCAAGAAAGGATTCCTTACATCATCATCCCCAAATTTTAACAGTATCTACTTGTTACTCTATACTGAATGAAAATAATGAATTTGCTGTGTGTTTTGCTAAAACTGTATTCCCACCACCACATTTTATCTTCCTTGTTTATCAGTGCAAAAATCAACAATTATTATACTTAATTGCAAACAAAATGGAAATGTTAAACCTTCAAATATATCACAAAACATTTTCCAGTTTATTTATTTTATTTGTTTCCATTTTCAACACTTACAAAAAAATAAATATGATACTAATAAAGATCAAATGATATTAAGTGAACTGACAGTTCTGAATGCTTGGTTCTATAACCCCGATTTTTATAAATCTTGGTTTAGAGATGTTAAGTCTCTGACAAAGGATTTGCTAACAGCAGCACAAGCTCTAAAGCATATTATAACTTTTTTACAATTCTGTCCTAACTAGAGTCCACTGTGAACAATAACAAAAACAAACAAAAAACTGTTCCATAAGTGTTCCTGTGAGTAGAGCCAGTCTGCGTGGCCTTGGGCAAGCTGCACAGTCCCAAGGCACCCCCAGAAAGAGGGGTGGTGGTTAACCACTTCTGAGTATTCTCTACCTAGAAAGCCCTGAAAAGGGTCTCTAAATCAGACTTGACTTGACAGCACATTATTACTAAGTGTTGATTTAACAAGTCCTGTTCATTCAGTAGGTCTCTTCTAACTGGGATTAATAGCTGGATGCAGCCCAGTTGTTTCAGAATGTGTCTCATGATACTGACTATTAAAAAACTAAACAAACTAAAATAACTAATAGTTCCAGTGCAACTTTTTAGAAATATATGTCAAAGGCAGTATAAAAGTAAAATTCATTGAAATGCTCCAGTAAAAATCAGGATATGGCAGAATAAATGCAAGTATTGATCTTAAGGCACAATATAGACAAGTATATATTGCTTACTAATCAGTTCCTTACCTAAAAGAGAAACATATTTTAGGTGGAAACATAATTTAGAATTATCAACTTTCCAGTAATTGTAAGCAAAACACCGAGACCTTTAAGAAAACTTGAATTTAGTCCCAGACACATACTCCATCGCACCTGAGAGATGACAATGTCTATAAGTAGTTCAGTAGCACACACATGATAAGGATGCAGGTCAGCAAGAACTGGGGGGAAACAATTGTACATCAAAATTCTAAGAGCTGAACTTCAAAAGGTGCCAGCATTTATTTGTTTGTTTGATTTGCAGTAGCACTCAAACATCATGACACCTAGCTCATGTGAGTAGTCACTTGCCTCTCCAGTAGTAAAGGAACCCCAACAGGACTCAATACGGAGAAAACATGAGCAACAGCATAACACTGGAGGAATTCTGAAAAGAAAACCATTATATTTAGCACTATTTAAAGGGCAAGTCTGTTTCTTGGTAGGATGCAGGTTCCTGCCTCAATTTGCTTTTAATGAATATATGATTACTTCCAGAGGGACAGCCATTGTCAAGAAACTTGTTTCTCCACCAATTCTATGCTAAATTCAGAAAACCTGCAAGTTACCACTAACAAATGTTGGATGATATGGAGGTAAGGTTTTCTGAGTCAAAAAAATGACATTCACAGCATTCAAAAATGTTTGAAGATTGTTAACACTATTAGATGGAATTTGAGCTATCTATCAGCTCCTTCCTTAAGGCACATGGGTCATTTTTCATTCTGGCCAGTAAGTAAGAGATTTAGATGATAAATTTAGCATTTAAAAATCTAAGGAAAAATATCTAGTGGTTTGTCAAAATTGAGGTTACACTGATCCAAAGATCAGAACAACAGAAAAGAGCTAGACAAGGAACAACAACAACACCTCTGAACTCGTCAAGTATTAAAACAAATCTTTGTATAGATAGGCTCCTATCTGTGAACTTTTTTTTTTTCTTTAAAGCTCCACAATGTGAAAATCTCTGTATCCAGCACTTGGATCAGACTACAGAATTTTCAATATTTCATTAGGAACCATGTTCCTAGAACTCAACACTGTCAGCTCTGAAATGATGGGTTATTTTAGAGGTGGGCAAAATTTACCCCTCCAGATAGTGTTGAATTGCATTGCCCATCAGAGTCAGTGTAGCCGATGGTGAAAAATGTTGGAAGTCAAGCAATCGTCTGGAGAGCCTGCAGAGGACAACCCAGACTGAGGTTTCCATGAAAAAAAAGAGCTCCCATATAAACATAATTATGACCATCATACTTGCTCACTTAGAAGAAGCAGTTTAATGAAAATAATAAAATACTCTGAGGCACCAAAAGAATAGAAAAAGGCAAATTAAATTGTCTCTATGATAAAATAGGTTCATAATAAGCAAAAATTATAAAATGTACAATGATGAAATGAAATATCTGAAAAAGACTTGAAAGGTTTTTCATAAATTTACAAATTGTAGCTGGAAATGATTTGAGTTTACTTTACAGCACTATGTTTATACAATAAATAAACATATACAAACTGAATAAAAACCTAATTGGTTAAAAGTTATGGATGTCTTGAGCATTCCAGTTCATAACTTTATCGTATTCCTGAATTCGTTGTTTTATGTGAGAAAGTTTGTTTTTCAGGTACTCGCATCGTTCTCTTTTCTCCAGAAATGTGGGATCCTGAAATTCAATATAGTATATAAAAGTTATTCTGTGCAGATTAGTCAAGAAAGGTAAGAAAATTTAAAATAAATGTGAGAGTGTGGTGGTTTTACATTGTATGTATATTGTGTATAGGTTTGCAATGGCTCGCATGGTAGGTGACTGGAGCTGTTTGACAGCTGTATGAGCGGGATAATTGACAGGGCTTGCAATTAGAACAGTTAAGAAGAAGAATGTTCATGAATGGAGTTGCAACCAGAGTTGTCTATATGGTTTCTGGTTAGAGAGGTTCTGTTTTGTATGTAAAAGGGTGTGCGTAGAAGAGCTAGTTAGAACTGTGAGGCATTAGACAGTGCTGTCAGTTAAAGTTTGGTGTTAAAATCTGTGTACAGTGGTGCCCCGCATAGCGACGTTAATCCGTTCCGGATTAATCATCGTTATCCGGAAACATCGCTATGCGGGGGGGAAACCCCATAGGAACGCATTAAACTTCGTTTAATGCGTTCCTATGGGGGGAAACTCACTGTTATCCGAAGATCCTCCATAGTGTCGCCATTTTCGCTGCCTTGGTAAGCGAGAGCAGCACGCGAAAATGCTAGCGGGAACCATTTTGTAGCAGCGCGCGAAAATGCTAGCGGGAACCATTTTGTTGATGCAGTGGCCATTTTGGAACCACCGATCAGCTGTTCTAAAAACATCGCAATGCGATGTTTGCCCTATCTAAATATTGCAATGCGATCACAAAAAATAGATCGCTATGCAGACGCAATGCAATCGCAAAAAATAGCGCTATGCGGATTCGTCATTAAACGGTGCGCTCGTTATGTGAGGCACCACTGTAGTCTGTTTTGTGAAAAGGTGGAGAATAAAAGTGTAATATTTTGTGCCAAACCAAGTATGTCTTTCTATGTATAAGGAACAAGAAGGGTTTAAAATCACAAAGAAGAAAAGTAAAGTCTTATGACTGCAGAAACTATAGTTTAAACTAGTGGTCACCAACCTTTTTTGGTCCGCAGACCGGCTGGGGAAGGCGGGGCACCCCCCACACCTGTGCGCATGTGTAAACAAGTGTTCTCTCTCACACACACAAGCGTGCCCATGCGAGTGCCGCCCCCATCTACGCATGTGAGTCAGTAAGTGCTTGTGTGCATGCACAAACAGCAGGGCAGTGCTTTCACAGGCATGCACACTCATGTGCATGCGCAAACGGCAGCACAGCGCTCACACGGGCTTGCTGGAGTGCACCCGCAGGCTGTGCGGGGGTGAGTGTGTGCAGGAGTGGGGCGGGAGGTCTGTCTCAGAGACCTGGTCCAGCTCAGGCCACAGACCAGGAGTTGGGGACCCCTGGTTTAAACAATGTTCTTATATTTTGCTTTCACCTGTAACTGAACTTTTTATTTATCTATTTTTTAAAAAGCAGTATTTTTCGTTATTTTATAGATGACAGTCAAAAACTGTTGCAGTGGTTAAACTGCAGTACTGCAGTGAAGGCTACGTATAAGACCTGTGTTCAATCCCCGGCTCAGGTAGCCAGATCATGGCTGACTCAGCCTTCCATCCCTTCTAAGGTCTGTAACCCGAGTACCCAGCTCACTTGGGGGGGGAGGGGAAATGTGTACCCTGCATAATTTAAATTGTAAACCACCCAGAGAGTGCTTTAAGCACTAGGGGGTGGTATACAGGCAGCACACTTTGCTTTTTGTTTTGCTTTAGGATGGTTTTTCAGAAATTCAGTATTTCCAGTACTTCTGTTCTCTGGCTCACACAGCTCCTGCGTAATGCCCTTCAGTGTATGGAAGCTGGGACAGGAGCAAGAAATCTCTAGTTACAGAAAATAGATGCTGTTGGAATGACAAAACAGAACCATTCTGTTATTGCTCCATATAAATGCATACATGTTACCAGCACTACATTAATAAACAGATCGGGCACTCACGTTCTTTTTCTTTTTATATTGTTGCAAAACATTGGCAATCCTTTCACGTTCCTGCAAAGAAGAGAGAAAGAAAGAAATCATCTTCAAAATCAAACATTATATGTTCTGATTTTATTTAACCTGTTCTAATTTCTTAAATCTTACAGTAAATCTTACAACTAAAAAGCTGGAAGGGAACCCTATGGGTCACCGAGTCAAGGAGGCACAGTGGGGCTAGATACCTAAACAATTGAGTTATCTAGCGATTTGCGAGAAATAAATCACTTTGCAGAGATTATAAGGCAACAGAGCCCCATTACAACCGGGTCATACCAACACCCCAATACTGCTACTTCAGCAAGAATTAGCAATCCATCCAGTTTTTGCTCCAGCGCTAACAAGGGCTTTTGGGTCCCTTCCCCTGCAAGCAGTGGCATGTAACAAAAGACATAACATGCTTCTGACATTTATTTTACGTTATTTTATTTATTTAATGTGGTTTTTGTTATATGGCTGTGGAGCCAGAGGTTGGGAGTTCGATTCCGCATTGTGCCTCCTGGGGAAAATGCCAGCCTATGTGGCCTTGCACAAGTTGCCAGGGTGCTCTTTCAAGGAGGAAATTGTAAACTACTTCTGACTACTCTCTACCTGGAAAACTGTGAAAAGGGTCACCATAAGTCAGATTTGACTTGATAGCACATTATTATTATATTAATGTTTCACATTCCTTTACTATCATAACACCTTGATTATTTACAGGAATGGCATTGTGAACCTCATAAAGATCAAGTAGACAAAACATAGCGTATAGAACTAAAATAACTTTCTGTCCTCCTATCAGACATTTTAGTGCAAGTACAGTGGTGCCCCGCATAGCGACATTAATCCGTTCCAGGATTAACGTCGCTATCCGGAAACATCACTATACGGAACGTAAAACCCCATAGGAACGCATTAAACTCCATTTAACGCGTTCCTATGGGGGGGAAACTCACCGGTAAGCGAAGATTCCCAATCCGGCCGCCATTTTTGCCACCTCGGTAAGCAAGGGTAGGGTGCGAAAACACTGCAGGCGGCCATCTTCTGCACCCAGCGGCCATTTTAGAACCGCCGATCAGCTGTTTTCTAAACATCGCAATGCGATGTTTTGCCACCTAAACATCGCGATGCGATCGCATTAGTGATCGCAAAAACACGTTGCTATGCGGATTCGTCGTTAAACAGTGCGCTCGTTAAGCGAGGCACCACTGTATTAAGACACTGGTTCCCAGTGTGGTGTAGTGGATAGAGTGATGAACTAGGACTCTGGAGAACAGGGTTCAAATCTCTGCTTGACTATGGAAACTGACTGGGGGAGAGGAACCAGTAAAACCACACCTTAAATATCTTACTTACCTTAAAAACCCTGTTGGGATCACTGTAAGTCAGTTCCAACTTGACAACAACAACAACTAACACAGAGATAGTGTTCAGTTCAGCAAGTACTACAGAATGTCATGCCATAATCTACTTCGAGAGAGCCATGACATGCAGCTGTTAATAAATGTTAAAGCCATGTAAACCACATGTTAAAGCCATTAACAAATATAGTACATATTTTATTTGGATGATTTTAAAATTATTTCACTGTGGAATTTAGCTCCATACATGTTTCTGACTTCTAAAGGGATTGTGAGTCAGAAGTGGCAGGATCCTTTCTAGGCTGGTGCCTGTGTCTACAGCCATTTTTTTATATAGATAAACACAAATCATATTTAATTAGTTACTTACAAGAGTGTTTCCAGGATGCTGAGGTAACTTCCTCATCAGTGCATCTAGCTCATCAAATTTCTTCAAGACCGCTTGGACCTCAGCAGAGAGCTCTTTATATTCAGAAAACTGATCATTAAACACAGCTTTATAGCGGTCTCTTTCTTCATTTGTCCGAATTGCTGGGTACTTACTGCAAGAAAGAACATTACTCCTAAGAATATTATTGTATCAGCTGTTCAGAGTCTTACACAAATGTAACGCTTGAAAATATAGCACTACATGGAAAAATATACTGATTAGAACTGATTGCACTAGAAACAGTCCTGGACTAATTTTTTTCACCACCTGTACAGCATAACTTGGCTGATTAACTTAAATCATTTGGATGGTCCTCCAAGCAATTTCATGGTACACCCAGGCATAATCAGGATGGAGGACTAATGCATACAGGACCCTGCCTTAGAGGGATGGATCATGCTTCGTAATATTTCAACATTACGATGGTTATTTCCCCACATACTTGACAGTAGGGCATTCAAACTCAAATACTAAAGAGTAGTATGCTTTCTTGATTCAAAAGCATCCACCAAAATTTTGTCCTTGCAGGATGCAAAATTATGTCTTACAGATGCAACTAAATACAAAACTTGATGAAGTATACTGAATTTGCTAAGATGACTTATTCAATATGTAAAATTAGTATCATTAAGACAGTGTGTCAGCCAAAGTCAGTGACCACTCAATGGAAACTCTGAAGTGAAAGACATTCATGCCTTTTTACATTTATAAATACACAAAGTTGACAGAGTATCTTCTTTCAAATCCACAATAAACATTGCAGAGATAGACTCACGCTAAGTAGTCTGGCATCACTATAGGTTTAGGAATATGCCCTGCTGGTATATGGCCATTGAGCAGTTCAGGTTTTATTTCCAAAGGCTTCGACTTCTTTGAGCTTACTGCTGCATTGGGACTGTGCTTTTCATCTTCATACTATGCAAAACAAAGAAGCAAAACATTCTTAATGCAGTGTGGCACAAAACTGAGTGGTATGATTAAAAATAAAGCTCTTTCAATTTGCAGAACATGTGCGTTTCAAAGCTTGAAGCCGGCTCACTAGTGGGACTCAGGCTAGAGCAGAAACCCCTCAGCTCACAGAAGGGGATGGGTCTGTTCACCTCAGCAGCCCTATTCCACGTACAGAAAAAAAAAATTGCCACTAGGGAACTAGCACTTGCAGAATTCCAACTTGCAGTACTGGGGGGTGGGGGGGGAAGTCCCCAAACGGGGGTTTCATGGGGATGAAGCACTGGCAGCTTTGGATCCATTGTGTCCACAGTTCTATGGATTCCTGAGAGACTTAATCCTCAGGCCCCTCAGCTCTGCCAGCCTGAAACTGGTGTAGCAAAAGCAAAGAAACAAAAGAACAACCCTGGTAGATGCAGGTTTGCTGGGATTGAGACACAGAGATCAATCCACTGTGCCCCACAGCTCTTCAGATTGTTCCTCTGTCTCTCCAAATTCAAGCACCTTATAAACAAAATATTAAAACCCACTGAGTCCCAGAAGCTACAGTGAAAGTATCACGAAGACAAGAATTTCAAATTGTATCTCATAAGAGTATGCTTAAAACAGCCTTGATGGTTTTCATTTTTTTATGCTACACACATATGAGCAGTTTCTTATTTCAGCCTAGGTTCCACAATTACATATAGATAAAGGCTTTGACAAAGCAAAGGGAGATAATGAGGGTCTTAATTGTACAGTACATTTAACATTCAGTTGAGCGTAGTACAAATGATACAGAGGGGGTTCTATATACAGGAGGTTATCAGCTAAGGAAGACACAATGAACAGGAAAGAGGTATTATTAAGACACTAAACAGAAATACCAAAGGGAATTCCTAGATGATGCAAACCAAATGACTTCTACTGCTAGATTCCCCTGGTACCTTCACCCATGCAATTTTGCGAGAACCAAGTGACAGCCACATTCTAAATAATGTTTGTAATGCTACAGATGAGTTTTTAACTGCTGCAAAAATGACAAAATCCAATGAATGTAACTAAAATGGAAAGTGACACTCCCTCTCAGAGAACAGAACAAAGCGGGTCTTTCCAATGTAACAAAGTGGATGTTTTAACAGAAATGCCCATCAATCTGGAAGCAACACTAATACTGGCACAACAAACACTGCCCATCACGCTTATACGTTATGTGTGGCCTGTAATAAATTTTGGCGGTGGTAGTGGAATTATCATCAGTTAATGATGCTCTCCTTTTAACAGTCAATTAATCCATAAATAATACTTGAATCACTCGCTATAGCCAGGAAAGACAGCTGAGGGGCCTAAAGCTGACGGAGGCCAGGAAAGAAAGAACAAGAAACCGGGCCTTCTCGGCAGTGTCCCCTCGACTCTGGAACAGCCCTCCATCAGAGATTTGCCTGGCTCCCTTGCTGGGTGTTTTTAAGAGCCAATTAAAAACTTGGCTCTTTAGGCAGGCCTTCCCTCCTGCCAATACTTGATTTTACTTTTTATTTAACTTTCTGTTTACACCTTTCCACCTTGAATAATGCTAATATTATTGATTTAAATTGTTGTTTTAATTGTTATTATGATATTTTACTGTAAGCTGCCCAGAGTAGACATCTAAATGGGCGGGATAGAAATCAAATAAATAAATAAATAAATAAACAAACAAACAAAGGTAGTTCTGTAAGCACTACTATAGTTTGTGACAAGAAGTATAAAATGCATTTTGTTCTTACCATTCTTTTTGGTTCAAAAGATGGTGCCTTCATCTAAATAAAAAGATAAAAATAACAAAATTTAGTGTTCAGACCTAGATTGCAAAAGCCTTAAATGCAGCATTTTGCAAAGCAACAACACTGAATTCATGATTAGTGTTTGTGAATGACAAGATACAAATCACAGCTGCATGTACGCAGTGTTGGGGGAGTCATACCTCACAAGCATGCAATTTGATATTAGAAGGAATCATCCTTCAAAATCATGAAAATGTCAGCTTTTATTATATTTTATAGTAATATTTCAGCTATTAGACAAAACAACAAATGTATTGTTCCATCATCACAACAACTACTTATACTATTACAGAAATATTTCAGGTAGAAAACATCAGCAGCTGACCGGTGTGGTATCACAGCTTAAGCTGACCCTGATGTCATGCTGATGTAATACAAACCAGTGACACTCCACTAATAAATTATTACTGTTAGATATGTAGCAACAAAGCTGCAGAAAGCAAAACCATGAGATGGAACAGGTAGGAAATGACACATTTATAAGCCCAGTTTGATTACAAGATAAATAGCTTAATCACATATCCTTGATATTTAACACTAATCTCTTTTCTTCAGTTGCAATTAAGGCAAAATGGGTTTACTTGCTAAACACCACTTGTAATTGCAATAAATCATTTTGTGCAATAAATAAAGGTAGTCCTGTAAGCACTACTACAGTTTGTGATTAGAAGTATAAAATGCATTTTATTCTTACCATTCTTTTTGGTCCAAAAGACGGTGCCTTCATCTAAATAAAAAGATAAAAATAACAAAATTTAGTGTTCAGATCTAGATTGCAAAAGCCTTAAATGCAGCATTTTGCAAAGCAACAACACTGAATTCATGACAACCAGTGACACTCCACTAATAAATTACTACTGCTAGATATGTAGTATCAAAGCTGCAGAAAGCAAAACCATGAGATGGAACAGGTAGGAAATGACACATTTATAAGCCCAGTTTGATTACAAGATAAATAGCTTAATCACATATCCTTGATATTTAACACTAATCTCTTTTCTTCAGTTGCAATTAAGGCAAAATGGGTTTACTTGCTAAACACCACTTGTAATTGCAATAAATCATTTTGTGCATCATCTAGCTGAATGGAGGAGCTATTCATCTTTTAGGTGAGGAGGTATAAAGAGGGAAAACCCTATTAAAATGTTACTAAACACAGAATAAGTTCATCTATTTGCATTAGTAGCAAATACTCAGGAACACCAAAATTCAAAATGAGTGCTACCACAAACATTAAATATTTCCTGTTTAGACATTCTGAAATATAAAATGTCCTGAATCTTCACCTATTACCTCTTCACTCAGTGTCTGTATTGGAAGGCTAGATTTCTGTTAGAAACTCTTAAGAACTCATACAAAGTCAGAAGAGATATTAGTGTTAGAAATTTGAATAAACTGGTCTCTACAGTCATCCATTCTGGCTCAGAAAACGTGTGTGTTTTCTTCCTCTAGTCAATGACAATTCAGTGTGTGATGTAGTGGATACAGTGATGGACGAGGACTCTGGAAACCAGGGTTCAAATCCCTCTTCAGCCATGGAAGCTCACTGGGGGACTGGAACTGGTAAAACTACTCCTTCAATATTTCATTTACCTTCAAAGGCCGATTAGGACTATTCTAAGTTGGTTCTGACTTGAGAGCACCTGAAAACAACAAACCTAAGGACAACAGTGTTATGATTTCTCGTTCAGTCCTACTGGATTGTCTGTTTGGGTCAAATCAGGGTCTCAAGACAGCTTCAGGAGTATAATATTTCCCCCCAATCCTGGTTAACAGTTTCCTGCTTTGAGTTTTATGTTGAACTTCCAGTGCAAGGGAAGGGAGAAGGGAATAAGAAGTGCAAGGACAACTTATGCAAACAGAAGAACTGTGCATACCTGGGCTGAGCTGCGTATGTTTTAATCAGGCCAGGAAATAAAAGGCAATAAAATAGCAACTGTTTTCTCTCCCAGACTTACCTGTTCTGCCATAAACTCTCTGTGCTTCCGCGCACTTTCATGCCTCCACAGCTTTAGGCAAACTACGGCACTAATAAGGTAAATAATCATTGTCACAAACAAGAAGATAATTGCAGCTGTTTGTCCCCCTTCTATACGGCAAAATGATGCATTCATTGGTGTGTTAAATAAGCTGTAGTAGCAAAGTCCTCCTTTGTTAGCATCATTTACGTAGACTATAGCAGCTGCCATATACAAAATGAACAAAGCCACGTTGATTCCAAATTCAGTCAAAGGCCACCAGTTGGAATCTAGAAGAATAGTTCTGTAATACATGGACATGCCAAGTACTAGCAGGATAATAGTCACTATCCAAACGAGTGCTGCTACAACCAGGACAAAGGGAGTTTTAGGCCCACTGTAGTAATAGCCTCCATATGTGCTGCTTGCCCCATAACCATAGGGCTGCGAGTAGCCATACATATTGTACCATTCATTGTCCTTGTGAATGTAAGCGGTGACACAGGCAAACACTGCTGCACCAAGGAGCAATTGAACCACACCAAGGATCCTGAGCAAACCTGCCCACGATTTCATGTAGGAGTATCTGAGATTAAAAGCTTCTACTTTCTCACTGTAAGTTAGAACTGTTTGGGTATGCCTTTCCAGGGAGCCATAGGGATCTGACGGGAGCATGGCTTCACCTTCTTTGCGTGAATTGTAGGTGCCCCCTGAGCCTCCATATGGATCCTGATATGAGCTTGGAGCTGAAGTATGGACTGTTTTCACTGGAGTAAGCGTTGGAGAGGATGGTGGAGAGCACTCAACTCCACCAGAAATTGCACATACTGGCTTACTCCACTCAGGATCATCTCCTTTCCCTTTGAAGAAGTTTTTCCATGAGTCTGGAATGAATTTCCTCACTGGCTTGATCTCAGAGGTCCCAGCTGGTTCTTCGCTTTCACTTGGATAAAATTCAGGTCCAAAGGGGGGCTGCAGGGGAAGAGGCGGCGGCGGCAAGGGGTCTGAATTTAGTATCTGTTCAGCATGTTGAAAATCCCTTTCGGTATCTTCCTCGGAAGGGTAATCCACGTACACTTCATCATAATGGACAGAGCGACCATGTGGCCCTGATTTGCGTTCCGATGACACAGGCTTCGAAGACATTTGTTACTTCTTTCCTGTTTCAGAAATTTTTAAAAGAGTGAAAAAAAATTACATTCTCTTTGTCTTCTCCTCTTTAAAGGAATGGTTACAGAAGTGTATTTAAGAGAAAGAAAAACAAATAAAGGACTGCCCAGAGAGCCTGAAAGGTCTAAAACGCAACCTTTAAAATCAGCCAATCAATAATTAAACTGGGTTTCAGAATGAATTTGCCAAAACTCAGCTCCTGAAATAACGCACCTCAGGGAAGCTGTAACAAAAAGACAGTGAACAGTGCTATCCGCAGGAGTTAAATTGTTAGGAAAGGTGCCCTGCCCTCAAGGCAATTCTGACTTATGGCGACTTTTTTAGGGTTTTCCGGGTAGAGAATACCGAGAAGTGATTTACCCTTCCTTTCTTCCTGGGCCGGTGCGGTTTGCCCAAGGCCACACAGGGTGGCTCTTCTTTTCTTCCGGGGGCTCCCTGGGCGGGTGCAGTTTGCCCAAGGCCACACAGGATGGCTCTTCTCAAAGGAGGTACAGTAGGGGACCCAAAATGCCCAACCACGGCATACCTAAACCCCGGAGCGATCACAGTCACAATGATGTTCTTCCAGCGGAAACAACAGTACGTGCGCAGCAACAGTTCAGAAGTTTTTTCGGGCGCTGGAGGAAACGAGGCCAGCTAACGCCGCCGTTCTTCCCCTTCCCCCCCTTGTATTCCCTCCCCACAAAGCGGTTTTGGCACGAACCTTCCTGCCTACAGCCAAGATTGGGGAGGAGGGAACACACCTATTAGCCCAGAAACGTCAGTCCTACATGCGCTTACGCGGGACCAAGTACTGTAAAACTCAGTGGCGCTTGCTTCTGAGGAGACGTCGTCAGGGCTGCATCGAAAAGCGTCTTGGACGTGGAAAAGTTCACTGAAATCCCGACTGACTTCCTCTCCCCTTAGCGGCGGTCTCTCCCGCCGCCTCCCACCTTACCGGCGCCGCGCAGCCCTCACAAAACCCCCTCCACCACCTTGCGCCCGCTCCGCTCCGGCTTCTCAGAGGAGTCGCGCCCTGAGCGAGCGAGCGAGAGCGAGCGAGAGCGAGAACGCGGCGCCTTCCTCGGCCAGCCCAAGCTCCCCCGCGCTCCGTTTCTGGGCTGAGCCTTCCTGCCCTCAACGAGACTCGCCGCCGCCGCCGCCTCCCCCGCCGCTCCTTTGAGCACAAGGGCACGGATGCCGGGCAAGGCGGCTGGAAGGGGGCCCGGCCCTTTACTCCCGCTTCCGTCTCCCCTTCCCGGCGGGCTCGTCTTCCCTCCGCGGCTGGGCCGGAGGCACCTTCCCCGCCCACCCAGTCATCCGCCGCCGAGCCCTTCGAAGGAAGTGCAGCTGGCTCGCGGGGCTGACCTACCTGCCCGCCTGCCTGCCTGCCTGCCTGCCTGCCCCGCCCTCTCCAGGTAGAGCGGCGCTCAGGTTAAGCAGGCCGCCCCTGGCGGCGGAAAGGTCGGCCGCTTCCGCTGGGGCGAGGCCTCGGTGAACAGGGCCGTCCGTGACTGCCCCTTCCTTCCTTCCTTGCTCGCCGCCCAAGCTTTTGGGTCTTGCTGTAGAAGAGATGCTGGGGAGGGCGATTCCCGACTGAAGAACTCTTGTTGTACGAGGTGTAGTTCGCAATTGTATGGCGCCTGCGAGAGAGTTAAACAATAGTTCTGAAAGAAAAACAAAGCCCCGAGCCAGAAACTTTATAAAGTCTGACAGGGAAAAAACACAAAACGAAAGAAGACGACGACGTTGTGACACCTTAAAGATTAACTTTTTTTGCACCCTCTCGGAAGCTCCGTCCTGCTTCAGAACAAAAGTTTATATTAAAATATTTGTTGTTTAGTAGTGTCCAACTCTTCGTGACCCCATGGACCAGAGCACGCCAGGCCCTCCTGTCTTACACGGCCTCCGGGAGTTTGGTCAAATTCATGTTGGTTGCTTCGTTGACACTGTTCAACCATCTCGTCCTCTGTCGTCCCCTTCTCTTCTTGCCCTCTTTCCTAACATCAGGATCTTTTCCAGGGAGTCTTCTCTTCTCATGAGATGGCTAAAGTATTGGAGCCCCAGCTTCAGGATCTGTCCTTCCAGTGAGCACTCGGGGTTGATTTCCTTCAGAATGGATAGGTTTGATCTCCTTGCAATCCAGAGGACTCTCAAGAGTCTCCTCCAGCACCACAATTCAAAAGCATCAATTCTTCTTTATGGTCGAACTCTCATTTCCATACATTGCTACTGGAAAAACCATAGCTTTGACTATTCGGACCTTTGTGGGCAAAGTGATGGCTCTGCTTTTTAAGATGCTGTCTAGGTTTGTCATCACTTTTTTCTAATATTTTTTAACATTTTCAGATTTGTGGTTGCTGTAATCATCTGCAGTGATCATGAAAATATAGCAGGTAATAAACAAGGTGCTACAATGTCTTTTTTTGGCTTTTGTTTTGTTTTTCTTGTTGAAATGCTTAAATAGACTAATATGGCTACAAGTTCAAAAAAAATTCTAAGCTTGACAACCACAAATTTGTTGTGTGGTTTTAAAAAGTACATTGTGTTTTCTTTGTTGCTGTTATCATCTGCAATGATCATGAAAATATAGCAGGTAATAAACAAGGTGCTACAATGTCTTTTTTTGGCTTTTGTTTTGTTTTTCTTGTTGAAATGCTTAAATAGACTAATATGGCTACAAGTTCAAAAAAAATTCTAAGCTTGACAACCACAAATTTGTTGTGTGGTTTTAAAAAGTACATTGTGTTTTCTTTGCATCCACAGTGGGACCAGTATCCACAGGGGATCGGTTCCAGATCAGTTCCATGCCCACTCTAAAGAAATTACAGATTATAGCAAACGCTACTCATATCATGGCCTCTATCTCCCTCTAATGGCCAGTTCTGGTAACTTTTCATATCATGGCCTCTAGCTCCCTCTAATGGCCATTTCTGTTAACTTCACATTTACAAATACATTTAGGATTTTTTCTAATATTTTTTAACATTTTCAGAAAGTGAATAAATGATCCCATGGATAAGAGGTCCTACTGTCCTGCTAAATCTCTAGCTTGCTAGAGGTTACATTTGTAGGGTTATTCAAAATGTTTATTTTATGGCAAATAATATTAGCAGTAAGAATATCCAAGGAACAAAAATAACAATGTTTCCAGAGTATATGTATAGTGTAGCAGTGATCTGCATGGAACAAAGGCAATACGTGGACCTGAATTAGGTGGGACAGTAGGTCAGACCAATGTAGAAGACACATTATGGTATGAAATCTTTGCTATGGAAGCCTTCTATGTTTTTTCAGGAATCAACAAAGTCTCCTGGCATTTTGTGGATGGAAGATGTGACAAGTGGTGTTAGAGAGAACTGAAATTCAACAGGTATAAATCAATGATGCAATTCCAGTGTGGTGTAGTAGATAGAGTGTCAGGCTAGGACCCAGGAGACCTTGCTTAAAATCCCTGCTCATCAGGGCAAGCTCACTGGGGGACAGCACTGGTAAAACCACTACTTAAACATCTCACGTAATAGGGTGGTAGATTGTGATCAGTCAAATTTGAGTATATTCAAGTTCAGAAAACCAAGATTCTTTTCTATTTTTGCTGCAAGAGACTAACTTCGCTGTTTGCTATTGTTATCATGTGCCATCAGACATATGCAACTTACAGCAACTCTTAACAATGTCAAACTCCAGTGATTTTACGTGGCCAAGAAGGGGCTTGAACCAAGGTCTCCTTAGTCCCAGTTCTGGAAATGTATACTCAGAATAAAATCCCATCAAGTTCATGTGAACTTACTCCCAGATACCTGTGTAGAGAATTGCAAGCATATATTCTGTGGGATACAACAATGTTAAGACCTCTTCAGCATGAACATTCAGTCATTATTTAAAAAGTTCACCTCAAATTCTTCAGCTAAATTTTTTTCCAGGAATGAATCATTACTGGCCCTAGGTAGAAAGGCATTCTTGCACAATTTCCCTCCTCCTTCAAAAACCCTGCTCACTGGCAACAGACCACAAGGAAATACAACTCAAGACGCAATTTGACAGCACATATGAACAATACACTGTCCTCAAACCTCCTTTACAGTCAACCAATCTCCTTCATGTTACCTCCTGAACACCACATGTCCTTGGCCCCAGGATATAAGGATTGTACTGTAAGTCTTTTAGATAAAAAAGCAAAATAGAAGGCAGGTTTATACAAAATATAGTATATATAGAAATACAGGTCTGTAAAATATCTAAAATTGCAACACTATATTTATTAATGAGGAAAGCATTCAGAGGTTTATTTACATTTTAAATAACATACAAACCAGGCCTTAAATGCTTTGTACAATGTTTCTGTTACCACATACAAGATCAAAATGTATGAAATGCTAGCAAAAAAAGGCTGACGGTGTCCCCTAAATAGCTGTAAGAGACAATGGAGATAAATAAAGTCAAAATAAGTGAATTTCTGTATAATAATAATTCCTACATCATCTCATGAGCAGGGAAAATAATCTTGGAACTAATGTATGCATAGTTTAAACTTTGTATTTGGGACTGGTAGAAGTGGGGAACCCCAATACCCTAACATCCTCCATACTAGTTTTTATCCACTGTGAACTCAAAATACATGGTAGCCTGCAGAAATAGGAGCTTAGGTTGTCAGTAGCACTTTCTGTTCATTTATATATAAAGTCATAAAATACCACAACTAAAATTTTGTACCACAACTTTGGGATTGGAATTTTATAATTTTCAGTCACTATCATATTCTTCTATGTTGAAATCATCTTCCGCCATGATGACTTGTGCTGCAATGGGCTGAGGTTGACTGCCTGGCAATTCATGTCCACTGGACTGACTGGATGTAAGACGCAATTCATCTGGTTCATTTTCCTCATTGATTTTTGTTTTCTCTGTTTGCAGAAGCACCTTTGTGGACTGGATCTCTGCAAAAGCACCTTCGTCATCACTGTCCAGGACTTGTATGGTAGCATCATCAGTAAGAGTTTCGAGCTTTAACCTGTGAATCAAGGGCAGCAAAGCTTCAAAAGCATTCTGCTTTCAATCTCTTTTTCACACAATTACCAGTTACTGATGTGATGGAAAGACATGTCACTGAGGTATGAGAACCATCTTATTTGCACTGATACTCAAAACATACAAAAATGCAACACTCTGTTAAATTACTGGAGCGCTCAGACAACTCATGTCACTAGGGTTCCAGAAACCGACATAAGGAAATATTCTAAACCAAATGTAATTCTAATCTTATTTAGAAGTTAGGAAGCAATGTTAGAAAAAAACACCTTCAGTACTCTGCCTTAATGTCTATCCCTTCCCATCAAAATAAATAAACTAAAATAAAAATGTCAACTTCATTTTTGCTTTTTTTTCACATTTACTTATGGAGTTCAACTGATATGCCTTGCCCAGATTCGTACTGTAGATTTATACCTGTATCAAGTATCATGGTTTAAATCACAAAAGTGAATTACTGTTAATTAATTAGTTGCCACTTGCATTTCTTGTTCAATGCCACTTCCTTTGTGACTAGGAATACATGCAACAACTTTCTCGTGTTGATTTCCTGCTGTGATTTACACCATTACATTTAACACTGACATAACAACAGGATTTTGGCCCATGTTTCTGAGAATGGGGGTTACTATGGGGAGAAGAAACTTATGATTACTTTTAATAAGTTTACATTTTAAAGAGGCTTGAAAGAACCAAAGCTCACATGTTTCCAAGGGCTTGGGCTATGCTCACCTGATTGTTTAGTTCTTCATACATAAGTAGTTACCTAAATCCCAAAATTGTTCTCAGAGGCTCATTTGATTCATCCTCAGAGGTTTCTGCCATGTAAGGTATGGTGGCTGATGACTGGGAAGGGGTTTATGGGCAGAGGGACATGGCTACACAGCATGCTCTCCTCAGATAGTCTCACATAGTGCCTACTCAGTGATTTTCTTTAGGGCCCAGGTGAATGCCTTTTAATCTTCCCAGGCCTTCAGAACATTTTATTTTTGTTTACATTTAAGTCTGTAGCACCATGGAATCAATGGAGATCTTTACTAAGTCAGCTCCTCCATAGGTTCTATTGATTCAACTAGACCCACTCTGGTTGTGACTTACTATGTTAAAGTAAATCACAATTAGAGTAGGCCCATTTGAAGCAATGAAATTTACAAAGGAGCTGACTCACCAAATCCCCATTGATTCAATGAGCCTACTCTGGTGCAATTCACTATGCCAAGCAACAGAATTTTGTTCACAGTGTAGGAGGTGGGCACATGTCCCTCTAGATCCTTGTGGAAAAAGACACATGCAAGTACATATAGTATGTGTAGGAGCAAACCATTGTAAAAAAACTGAAGGAAGGATTACAATTTTCTTATGTTGTATTGCAGGTTGATACAATGGGATATATTTCATTTAAGGGCTTCTTAAGATGCCTATACCTTCTACAAGTATCAGTTTCTAAATGTACATTAAAAAAATAAAATCTCACACTTCATGAGAAAAATTATAGCAGGTGCTTTCCTTCCCTAAATGCTTCTTCAAATATATTATCAAGACAATTACCTTCCAAAGCGTTTCGTTAATGGAAGCCTTCCAACATCCTGAATGAAAGTAATCTGAGCTGAGAAAAAAAAACCAAAACTAATTTTGTAGAATGATTTTGTACTTTTTGTGATAAGAATGCATGTAATATCTGTGTCAAATTGGAACAGTTTACCATACTTCCACTTCCAGGCATACAAACATATGAAGTCAACTGCAAAACAACTATGTGACTAATCAAATTGTTTTAGAATTTAAAATGTAAAATTCAATCTTGAAATCATTCTTAGAAGAGCACAACTACAGTACAGTGGTGCCTCGCATTACGATGTTAATTCGTTCCAGCGAAATCGCTGCAGAACAAAAACATCGTAAAGCGAAATTAAAAAGCCCATAGAAACGCATTAAAACCCGATTAATGCATTCCTATGGGCTTGAAACTCACCATCCAGTGAAGATCCTCCATAGCGCGGCCATTTTCGCTGCCCGTGCAGCGAGGAATCCGTCCCAGAAAAGAGCGGGGAGCCATTTTTTTTACCCGGCGGCCATTTTGAATCCGCCAATCAGCTATAGGAAAATCGTCGTTTTGCGAGAATCGGTTCCCAAAGCAGGGAACCGATCATCGCAAAGCGAAATTCCCCCATAGGAAACATCGTTTTGCAATCACTTTTGCGATCGCAAAAACTTTGTCGTAATGCGATTTCGTCGTAAAACGGAGTGCTCGTCTTGCAAGGCACCACTGTATATAATGTTACGAAAGCAATATTAAAGTATCAGTTGAAACAATAGTTGTTGTTTTATGCAACATGTAAGGCTGCTATATTAGTGATCTGAATCTACCTAACAATTCTGTACAGTGGTGCCTCGCTTAGCAATGTTAATTCGTTCCAAAAAATCACTGCTAAAAGAAAACATCGCTAAGCAAAATAAAAAAGCCCATAGAAACACATTAAAACGCGATTAATGCGTTCCTATGGGCTTAAAACTCACCTTTAAGCGAAGATCCTCCATAGCGCCGCCATTTTCGGTGCCTCTTAAGTGAGGAATCTGTGCCTGAAAACAGCGGGCGGCCATTTTGTTTACCCGGCAGCCATTTTGAAACCGTCAATCAGCTGGTCGAAAATAGGGGCTTTGTGATGATTGCTTCCCTGTGATTATCGCAAAGCGAAATTCCTCCATAGGGACCATCGCAAAGTGATTGCTTTTGCGATCGCAAAAAATGCGTCGCTAAGCGATTTCACCGTAAAATGGAGCGACCGCTATGCGAGGCACCACTGTATTTATTTCACATACAGGCGTAACAGAGTTTACGAAATTAATGCATTCTCTGGAAAATTATGTAATGAGAAAATTTCATAAACCAAAAAGCGGATTGCCATAGGAACGGGGGGCGATGGTACAAATCTCCAGGCACAATGCATCCTGGGGAAACTTTCTTTGCAAACAAAAAAAAAAACCAGAAAAAAACGTAAACAGAGACATTGTTTTCAATGGATTGTGGTTTGTAACGCGAAAATTATGTTAACTGAGGCATTCATAAATTTTACACCTGTAAAATTTTAAAACAGTATTTACATGTGTGCTAAGAAGTTAAGCACCTAGGGAGTTCAATAGCACTTCCTCCCACCAAAGTGTGTACAGGACTAAGGCCCAAGAAGTGGACTTGTCAGTGAAAGGTCATCTCAAAATATAGCGGCTTGTCTTTAAGATGTCACAACATTTTTGTCTTCTTTATTTTCTATTTTTCTATTGTTTTTTGCCTGATTTATTTCTGTGTGAGCGTTCACAATGAAAGGCCATACTGAAATAAATCTGTTATTCTTTAAAGTGCCACAATAGTTCTTTTTATTTTTTGTATTGATTTTGTTGTACATGTTTGCACAAGACATGATAGACTTAGCTTTTTGAAATTACTGACAAAAGTACAGAGGCCTGTTAAATATAAGCTCTTGATGTATCTTAAAAACATTTTTTAACATCCAAGACTGCAATTTATATACTCCCACTTCAGCATAAGTCAAGTAAAGTAAATGGGGCTTATGTCTGAGTAAACATGCATAAAACTGTGCTACAGAATTATTTTCTAAGACAGCTTAACATCTTGATATAGTTTTTTCTTACTGTACAACCACTTTCAAATTGCTGCACGGCTTTAGGACTAGGATAGGTGGGATGGTAGCAGTTCTCCCAAAAATGAACTTCTGTATAGCCTATGGACCAGAATATGCCAACAATATAACAGGGCACTAACAGCAAAACCCAACGCCATGACAGCTTTACAGCAGTAGTAAAAACCTGAGACATAGTTGTGCTAGTACATATGTTTTGGACAAGTGATTTTTCAGAGCTTCATTGTTCTCAGTACTACTCCAAAGACTGGAATAATATATCTGTATTAATTTAAGTGTATGCTGTTCTAACTGGCTGGCCGCCCTATAATTGTGGAAATAAATTTGATTTTAACATACCTTGATTTCTCATGGGATTTGTCAGCATTGCAAGATAAGGCAACAGCTCAGTCTGAAGGCACAGCGGTGGCAAACAGAAACTTGAAAAGAGGGATTTTGCAGCAATGCAGTTTTCTTGAAACTACATAAAGAAGTCAGAATAAACAGGTATAATCACAAAATTAGTTGTTATCAGTTTGGTCTTAGAATATTTTCATTTAATAGCCTAGGTGTCTAGCTGAAACCTAAATTTTATCAATAACCCAAGAAATTTGTAAATGAGATGATCTTAGGCAAATGTAAAGCATAGTTAGTACACACTATAAATAAGATTAAAAATCAGAGCTTAGTTTCATTTAAATTGATGCTATGTTAGATTATTATTTCTCATAAAGTAAGCTACATTACCAAAGTACACTTTCTTAAGATTATTGAGAAAGTGATGAACAGTCAGCTTGTTGATTTAAAAATAATTACCTTTTGATTAATAAAGAACCACTGTGGTTTATGAAGGGGTCGAAAGCCCATTCTTCCTTTGCTCTGGGCAAAGGCTCTGGCTCTGTTTGAATGCATCACACCCCGTGTTGCCACAGATGCGCTATATGTCCGGAGTACAGGTCGTGTCTGTAAGATATAATAGCACTGAAGACAACTGTATGTGGAACCGAAAAGCAGATGAAAGGTAAAGGAGACTTATTAATTATCAAGGTCAATATCATACAGAGCAGTGAAAGGCATGGTGGATTCATGTACATGTTTGACAACAGCAATTTAAAAAAAAACTCTGATACATCTAGAAAACCTCCTGGAAGGAAATAATTATATTCTTCTGTAAAAATAAAAATATAAACCACTGTGTTCAACAAACTTGTAAGAAATATTTGTTAAACTTAAAGTCTAACTATTAAACACGCACACTGGAAGTGTTGTACCTATTAACATGCTGCAATATTTGCCTCAAACTTTCTATCTGCCCTTTGTGACATATACACTAAGATTTGAGAAATTAAGGTACGAAAAAATAAAAGATGAAGGGTTTCTCACATCAAGATATGAATAGATATTTTAAACTTACATCCCAGTTATTGCAAATGAAGTCAGCAATACTCAGATATTCACTGGCTCTCACAAGATCGTCTATATCAGAGAAAAAGTCTATATAGTTTTGGTGAAGGTATAAATTAAACAAATCTCCAGGCATGTGCGATTTTTCAACGACATCCTAAATAAAAGAAAATACACGTAATTAATATTGTACATCATGGAAGCACTTCCAAGCATTCCTATAAATTGAAACAGGAGTTCACTACTTGCAGACATCATGAGTCGCAAATCTTAATTAATTAAAAAGTAAACACTTTACCTCATGTTGAACAAGCAAAGGAGCTCTTTTATATTCTGATAAATGAACAGGCAACTGAGGAAAATCTGATTCTGTTGTAGGTTCTCCTATAAAGAAATTTACATATTTTTATAACTAGTTTTATTGAAAATTAAATAGCTAAAATGGATTCTGGACTCTGGGAACAGATAATTGGCCAGGACAATGGGATTATTTACAATTCAAGCGTGGCTAGTACTGGTTCATATAGACTGTAATCCTTGCACCTAACTTCTCTGGTGTCCACCCAACAGTGGGACGACTTGAATTTAAAAAAAACAGTTTCTAGATACATATAGTTTTAACAGATTATTTGGAACATTTTTTGCCCAGTGACTGGTTGCAATACCAAGTGCCTATGCAGATTCATTAACTATCAGCAATTTGCCACTCAGATTTATGCCAAAGAACTATCAGGCATAAGTACCAGCATTCTTGCCACTGCCTTAGAACAGTCTGCACATTACATCAGCTGCTGGCAAATATGTAAGTTGTCAAGAAGGAATAATGTGAGATTCCTTGCTACACACAAAAAATAATGAAACATAGATTTAAGATTCTCTTACTTTTGCAGTAAAGTATTTTTCCCAAAGCATGAAAAAGGAAGATGGAAGCATCTCTGCCACCAATAGGTTGAACTTTCTCATTTTCTAGAGGGCTGTGAGATTTCGTTTTCTTCTTTACTTTACATAATGTATCACATTTTAATGTAGAATTCCCTTTTCTCTGTGACCAGAACTTTTCCTCTGATGAATAGTCTAGTAATCAAAAAGCAACAAGAACATCAGCCAAGCAGATGAAAAATATGACAGGCTTATTAATCCAAAGATTGATCTATGAAATACATGGATCTGTTGATTTCTTATTTCTTCTGTTCTAAAATATGAGGGGAAATAAAAATAAATCTTGAGACAATAAAGACAAATGAATCAGAAGCTGGTGAATAATGTTAAGTATTTATGATGGATACATTTTCACATTTATTAGGAGCTTTAAAAATAACTGTTGGAGTAGTATGTTGCTATTCTTGACATTTGACTGATTTTAAAAATGTATTTGTACTTTCCACTGTAATTAGGTGCTACTGTTGTTAGCTGCCTGGTGCTTTTGGTAGAATATAAATGTTACAACAAGGAAAAACAAAATAGACCTGGCACTAGTAGTTATATTTTAGGAGGGGTTTCTGTTTTTGTATGTTTATTATTGCAATGTTGTTTGCATATGTTATTTTACTGGAAACCACCCAGAGAACTGAGTTGTCCACTAGATTGGGGGTGCAATTTAAATGAATGAATATTACTCTCTAATTATTTGCTATCATCAAGTGTCTGGCCCATGTCCTCCCAAAACATATTTCATGTTCAGAACAAATCTACAGCAAACTGTTTCAGTCTATGGCACATTTTTACCAAGTAACAACTGCCAGATGTTAAGCAATATTATACTGAGAAAACACTGAACTCCTACAACTAATAAAAAGCAAGGTATTTAATGGCAATATTTTAAGTGAAAGAACCAAATTTATTTGTTTCTTGGTGCTCAAGAAAGCCTTTTCAATATGTTACTAAGAAAGGTCAGCAGCAGCAGTTGAAAAAAAGAGAGTTACGCTGTTATCTGATTTGATTTTGATTTTTTTTTGCCAAAGCCATACTGTGACATCTTATTTGCCTAATTAACATTTAGAAAATTTACTGAAAATGCACTAACGTTGACATCATAAACACCCCAGGCCCACTGCAAGATCCATGAGAGTAAAAAACAAGTTGTTGGCATCTGCCACTCACGCATGCATCAGACTGGTGCATGTACTGCTAAAGAGAATTTCCAGACCACCTTTCCTGGCAACCCTGATGTCTCCTTGATGGGAACTGGCAGATACCTGCATTGCCAGCTGTGACAGTGTTAAGAATCTGTTTTGTGGGAGGCGAGAGATTTTTGCAGGGCATAAACCAGAGTGGGTCAACTTGGATTTGGCCCTAGGATACCAACTTTAGAGGATACTGTGGCTCCCCTGTGCTTCCCCTCTGGCTTCCAACCACAAAGTCCCTATGGGGGACTTAGTGAATTTTTAACAGATTATTTGGAACATTTTTTTGCCCACTGACTGGTTTGCAACACCAAGTGCTTACGCAGACTCATTAACTATCAGCAATTTGCCACTCAGATTTATGCCAAAGAACTATCAGGCATAAGTACCAGCATTCTTGCCACTGCCTTAGAACAGTCTGCACATTACATCAGCTGCTGGCAAATATGTAAGTTGTCAAGAAGGAGTATGTGAGATTCCTTGCTACACAAATTTTTTTAAATGAAACACAGATTTAAGATTCTCTTACTTTTGCAGTAAAGTATTTTTCCCAAAGCATGAAAAAGGAAGATGGAAGCATCTCTGCCACCAATGACACCTGGGTACCCCTGTCTGACCCATGGACAAGTTATGGAACAATTGTTTGGACACACCAATGATGCTTGGGTACCCCTGTCTGACCTATGGACAAATTGTCTGGACACTGATTTCTTGATGAATACTCCAATAAACCTTTCCCCTGGTTCAAAGTTAAAAAAAAAGACTCCTGAATTTGTTGTGGAGACCGAAGGTTTAAAATTCGAACCCTCACAGGGGGCAACTCCTGCCCTTGCGTTTCACTGTTGCCATTACAGTGCAATGTTTCTCCAAGTAACCTACTTCTTCACCTTCGTCACAGGATGGGGAGGCAGCCCTATTTTACATATGTGAGCCACAAAGTACAGTTACTCTTTTGTCGCTACAGTACTTCTTCACCTTTGTCACAGGATGGGGAGGCAGCCCTGTTTTACATATCTGAGCCACAAAGTACAGTTACTCTTTTGTCAGCATGTTTCATGTTCAGGTGCAAACACTGCTAATTACGTATCTCATTTTTTAAGAATGCCAATATCGTTAATTACATCTCTCGTTTTCTGAGACTGCTACAGTAGGCAAGCATCCTCCTCATCAACTTGTCATTGTTAAGTACCAAAGTTTGTTAAATTTATTTAATAAAGACATTCAGTTCTTGTCTTTCCACATCCAGGGAATCTTCTAAATTACCCTAGTGATGTTCCAGTTAAGTAAAAAAATATTAAAAACAACAACAACTCTACAAATAGCAGATATCCTTTTAATTGTAAATATTTACCTTTCAAGGAAAAGAACTGGAGACTGTTTATTGCACTCCTGATATCGCCTGAGCATCCTTTGCAAATCAATTCTAATGAGGCTTTATCAGGAGCATCAAATTTTTCTCCATTCTACAAAACAGAAACATCTAAAGTTTTAATTTGCACAATTGTAAAGTATTGACAACCAGCATAAGACTGACTTTAGGCCTTCATACAATTTTTGTTAACCCTGGATTTTGCAATATCAGAAGCACATAGATCAGACTTCCAGCTGTTGTTTTTTTTAAAAAAAAACACCACATCAGTTGCTGATGTTGCCAGTGAGTCTCAACCTGCACAAAAATTGATTCAGAAAGTCAACAATATTCTGTAGTGGGAAACTGTTACAAAAACACATTCATGTCCCCTAGTGAAATGGGGAAATACCATAATCATAAAATTCCATACAACTGTGTACAGTGGTGCCTCGCTT